AAGAAAGAAAGAAAGAAAGAAAGAAAGAAAGAAAGAAAGAAAGAAAGAACGAACGAACGAACTGCAGGAAGTTGCATGCACCATGGCATCCCTGCTACTGCCAAGAGGCCATCATAGCAGAACGGAGGTATAGTTCCTCCTGGAAGCAATTGTTGCTTATCAGAGACCATCAACAGAATACTGAATTTCAAAGAATGAAACAAACTGAGCCATAGCAAGCACATCTTAAGACTGCAGCCCAGTTGCTCTCCTGCCCTCCCTTCTTTCTCCAAGGGGGCAGTCTAGTGGGCCAAATTTGGCTGTGAACTGGAAGTTCCCCTTCGCTAGCCTACAGGAGAATGAGTCAGAGCAAGATCATGGACAGTGAGGTTCAAATCTGCACAAAGCCATGAAGCTTGCCAGGTGATGCTGGAGCAGTAACATCTTCTCAGCCTACCTTACCTCTGGGTGTGCTGTGAGGGAAAACTGAGAGGGCCAGCCTGAGCTCGGGTGGAATAGAAAGGTGATAAAATGAATTATTCATTGCAGTTGAAGGTTAACAGCCATCTGAATGAGCTTTTATCAAACTGCTACTTGTTACCCCCTTTTCCCTCTTAACTTTAAAAATACTTTGGCTAGCCATCTGTTCTCTTTCAATTAACCTTCTTCCTTGCTCACTCAAAACTAATGAACTTGTTGGACAGTAAAGAAAAGATGGCATGATAGCCACCAAAGCATCGTACAAGTGGCAGCCACATAGCTTGATGGCCCTTTATTCAGGCATAAAAGTGTGTAAGAAAAGATCCTTGTGTACAACCTATTAACATAATCAGTGTCAATTCCCACTGCGCACTGCAAAGCTGTCACAGCTACAGTGATACCAATTAGGAATGTAATCATATCATGAATGTCACCTAGAAGCAGATTAAGATGTTTTGATGATTCTATTAATTGTGCCTTACATGCAGATATATTCCTAGGTGCCAATTTGTAGCTCAGATGGTCTGGGATTTTATAAGATGATCACAGCCTGTCATTATAGCTGAGCACAAGCAAGGCATATCTGCAAAATCCTTACAGGCTCCGAGGAAGATACACTCTATAAGCTGGACATAATGGTTAGCCAGTGTCTTGGTTGGTCAGAACAACTGTTAACAATGTCTAGGAACTTAGCTGAATGGGCAGATGGGCAAAGAACCCAAGATCTGGTTGTGCTGTGGAACATCCATTCTAGCTCATTTATGACAGCAAGTGCTCATCAGTGCTATCACACAGATGGGGTTCTGCGCCTGCACAGAGTTGCATTCAGAATATTCTTGAGCTGAGCAAAGTTTTGGCAGGAACCTGCCAGTGGTGAAAGGCAGGACAGATGGCGTCCACACTTGGTTCCCTGTGACACCAGAAACAATGCTGCTGCAGCTATCAAAATGGGAGAAGGATGGGTTGTGTAAGTACACAGATAACTATCCAGAAAACCACAGGTACAGGTCAGCAACTTGTTCTGCTCCTTCACAACCTCTGTGACTCACACAGATGAGAAACTGGCATACTTAAACTTAGTAAAGATGGGCAGATATCATGGTAACAATGAAGTAAGAACCAGGATGTACCAATATGTACCGTTGAGACTGTGCGGCAACTTGGCAAAAGTCAAACAATGGAGTACCCCATAAAAGGAGAAGATAAAGCCACAGACCTCAGATTGGCTACAAATACCAACCAGAAAAGGCAGGTGTGAGCATTGATAAAAAAAGGATACAGGAGAGGCAACCACAAGAGTTTTTAGCCCCCCCATAAAATGTCACGGCATAGAGAACCTTTTAAGAATGCAACATGATCTCCAGAGGTGAAGCAGGACTCTGCATAAATGTGGGCAAAATTTTATCTTACCAAGATGAAAATGAGAAACAATTTTGGCAAAAAAAATGTAATATCCAAAGAACTACCTTGTCTCTATGGAAGATGAAGTACATCTGATCACGACACACAGCAAACTGTTTACCATACTGTTGAGCAATGTTTTGGACTACAATGCCCAACATGTCTGATCACTGCGTGATTCTATGTATGATCAGAAGGAACTTCAGGAAGTAGTTCGTGAAACATCTGAACTATCCTGGAAGTCAGAGGTGAGAGAAGGATTGAGGTACAGCATCTATTAATGTTGCTAGGGAAGTTTTATGGACATTCCTAAATCTGTTCCTTTTTGTGAGGTGGACTTCTCAGAAATCTAATCTAAAGGAAAAGCCATTGAGATTTTATTTAGCTAGGGAAGGTTTAGCTTAGGAATGGTAAGCAACAGTATATGAAAACTCCTAAGCAATATCAGTCTATTATTCCAAGAATGACACTGTATTCACTTAGGAAAAAAACTTCCACTAATTAATAGCTTAATTTGTGTTCATTTTGAAAGATTCCAACAGTGGTATGAGCCCTATCCTATGCTATGAGAATGTGGCTACTTAGAGGACAATCTAACAAAGCCCAAATATTCTCAGATTCCTGCATACTTTATTAAAATTAAAATTTATAAATTATGCCAATGATATTTTGTTGTGTATTTCACAGATAACACCAGTAGCTGTTCCAACTTTGATGCAAACAATAAATAATTTGAAATATGTATCTGGGTATTCTATTAACTGGTAAAAATCTGAACCGATGTTGATTAGAGATATTATACTCCATTGTCTGCTAGTTAACTGGGAATTTAGGTTCTGCTCAGAGCTTATTACTTATTTGAGAATACTTGTCCCTAGAAATGTATCTCAAATTATTGAATTTGAGTGAGCTGATTAATGAGATCTTAGGGGACAACTTTACAGTTAAGTCAAGAAATATACATAAAATTGAATGCAATACCTCAGATAGTTTTATATGGCATTCCTTTACTTAAGTCTGGACAGTACAGTCAGAAACTTAAAGCCTTGTTTTGTACATTTCTATAATATTCAACTCAGCTACAAATAACTTTGAAAAGGATTCTACTTCCTTGATCAATTGGCTTCTTTGATCATTCTTTTTATCATCAAGCTTCTCTTTTGAATTATACTATATTTCAGTTTCTCCCTGCTCAGATAAGACTTCTCTCCCTGGTTGGTTTTGTAATCTTCATGTTTGGATCCCCTTCCCTCACACATTCAATTCGGTTCTTGGCAAACCAAAATGGATAAGGCGTTTCCTACAGCTGCAGAAGTAAGGTGTGACACATACTTTTGCATTAATTCTAGTCTGATTCATTTCTGCTTGCAACACTATCAGGAAACCTAGAATTTAGATTAGAAAGAAAACGTTTGACGGATGGACTTGATTGGACAGACTAATTTAGTTTGGATCTGCTTGTAGGTTCTGATGATAACTTCCTGCCATTTTCTGTTTTGCATATTAAATATGATTTGCCAGCTAGAGCCAAATGGCAATATATGCAATTGAAACATTTATCAGACTCAAGGTTTGCCACTTTACAGTTTCAGAGCCCCCTTTTACTCACAATAACAGTGTTGATAAAGGCTGAACAGCTACTCTGGCCCACAATTCATTTTACAAATATCTATTACCAGTGAACAAATATGATACACTGGGTCTTAAGGAAGAATGGAATAATGAATTGGCACTTGTTTTGCCGAATAACCTGTTTTGCCCAGTCAATGGAATACATAGTTGACATCTGCTTTGGAAGGGGTAATGGATCTTAAGTTATGCTTCATTCAGCAAAATTTGATCTTGCAAGTGTATTACATGCCACACAGTCTTTTTAACAAGAACCTAATTAGATTGGCTCATTGCTGAAGGTACAATATAGTGACACTTCTCTAACTCGTGTGTTTTGGTAGTGCCCTGTGGCTGATTTCTTTTGGGAAGAGGTAATAATCTGGTTAAATTTTGTGATGAAAGCTTCATTAATACTTACAGATATGAATGTTCTACTTAACTATCTACTTATTGCATGTAATTTAATGTAAGGTCAAAGAATTTTCTGTTTCATTTTAGCTTTGGCTTTGATTTCAAAATACGCAATTAAAATAAATGGAAAAAAAACCACTTCAAAAGCAATCCTATGGCTCCTAGATAACATCTTAGGGGCCACAGCATAATGCAGATCCTCAGATCCAGGCTTGGATCCTGGAGCTAGGGAACTGCATTCTGATCCCCTCCCCCTATAAAAACCTGTCATGGAAAGAAACACCAACTGCCTCTCTGAGGTTGGAAAGCTGACCTTGAAGAGGGGTCAAGTGGGCATTTCGAGGAGGCAGGGAGGGGAAGAGACTATGGCCACCAGGATGCAAGTCATCCTGACAATACTCTAGCCTCTTCCTCCTCCAAAGGGCACCAGCCAGACAGCCAAAACGCAGAACAGAAGGAGCAGGGACTTGGAGACTGCCTCTGCTGCTCCACGTTCAGGGCTTAGGAGCATTAAGGGGACAACTGTTTGCATCTTAGATAGAAAGATAAATGTTTCAACCTCAGTACAGGGGATGAAGGTATGTGTCCCCTGTCCCTCTTCTTGTTCCTCTTCTTGGGTACAGTTGCAGTTGGTCTAACAGCTGTTTAGACTTAGCCCAAACAGACAGCCCAGTATGTGTGAGTCACCAAAACCACAATGTAGAAGCAGCAGCAGGAGAGAATGAGCTATCTCTTTTTCCACTTCCTGGCACATACACACTGTTTTGCGGAAAAGCTTCACAACCGCAAATGTAACACGATATAAAATCAGCTAGATAGCAGTGCTTCACAGCTCTGGCCTCCTCTCTAGGCTAAGGGCTCTGTGGAATGAAAGACGAGCACTGTGTGACAGAAGTGGCTTCGTACCAGGGGTGAGGAACCCTAGGCGCAGGCCTCTGAGGCTCCCCGGCCTGATCAGGCCTCTGAGGCTCCCGGATGGCCAGGTCTCCTTTGCCTCGTCCTACCTAACTCCAAACTGACCATTTGGTGATTTCCCAAGTTGATACAGCTATTTTCCCATACAAAAAGGTTGAAATGCCTCTCCTATTACTGGATGCAAGAACCTGAAGATACAAAATGCTGGTATTTTGAGCGCTATGTTCTTTGCTTCAATCCCACCAAGCACTGGAGTTTAGTCCCTGAGAGCTTGTCTGAAATTGAATTTGGCCATTAACCTGATAGAGGTCTCCACTTCTGCTTTATACAAGCAAACAGACTTCCATGAATTTAGCCTGGCTGCAAATAACTTTGCTATCAGTGAGCTTTTCTAATATCAGAATCCGTAAACAAGTTGGGTTTACCTGAGTTCTCCCCAGAAATGCTGCTGTAAGGCGGTGGAAAATCACTTACAACTTGTGAATTCTCACCAGGTTCCTCTTCATTCTGCAACTGAACAGAAACAGTTTCACTTTACAGAGCAAGGACAAAACAAAAAAAAATGCAGATCTGATCATAGCTTATACATGAAAAGATATCAGGTTAATTTTACCAGTAACTACTAATGAATTACTAATGAATTTAAAAAATATGTTTTTAAGGTGGGCAAATGTTTTGCAAATCAATTATCAATCTATTGTTTAAATTTTATTTTTGTTCCAAGACAGATGTTGCACATTCTTCCTTCTTTGCACACGCAAAGTGAAAACTTGGGAAAATGGTGATTTAACTATTGGAAGTTCAACTAGGATCAAACCACAGTTTAATACCTTCACTTGTTTAAGCAAACCACAGCTCCTCGAGGTTAGAAATAATGAAGAACTGTCATTATTTCTAAAGTATAAGCTTTGATTACTTTTCTTCATGTTGGAAGGAGGAGAGGAAGCACAGGAAGACAATGATTGTACAGTCTGATATCCATCTTGCAAAAGCATGACTTCCCATTACTACCATTTTTGTAATGATCACACTTATGTTTGATAACGGTTTAACAATAAATTCAGCTTTTATGTTAATTTGATTTAAACACAGATTTTTTTTTTAACCAGCCTGTTTTTAAAGTAAGTTAAATCCTATAACAACAGTTTAAAAATATGTTTCCAACAAACATTCATATACCCTGGCATGCTGGAAGAAAAAGAACTATGATAGGTGCATAAAACTATTTGGCATGCCATAAACTACCTTTGAAAGTCCTCATTTCAAAAGCAAGCTATTATGCTGCCCAAAAGAATATACAGATCAAGGAAACCCTGCACATTAGAAGCCATTTGTATATCTAGTTTGATCATGCATATTTTATGTAAGCCATGTAGCCATTCAATAGTCCCCAGAGTAGTCTAAAGCAACTGTTTGTAACAAAATTTGCTGAATAGCTTGGTTGAAGCAGGTTCCAAGCCCCTGAAACTACAAGCTTCGGGAAGATTTTTTTTTCCATCATTCTCTCTCTACTTTTCCCTAATAGTAGCTGTTTCCCACTTCCATCCTCTCAGCTGTCAGTTAACCCAGGAGTGCTCATACATTTGCAAAAACTGAAAGGGAATAAGAAAGATCAAAATGTGATTACTTTGCATATTCTTTGTGCAATACTTGTGAAAAAAAGTGAACCTTTGGAACAAACTTGAGGACATGCATGTTTTATCAACCAGAAGCTCTGGGGGAGGGTCTCAGTTGATAAAGCTGGCGCTCCTGTTGTTGCTCTGGTTGAACTGTGAACTGGGGAAATGGCCAGAGCTATTGACACGATTGCTCCTAAGCGTCCTCTCCCGCTCGGCAGAGCCCGTTCATCCCCATGGTATACACCTGAACTATGGGCAATGAAGCGGGTTGGAGACATCTAGAGCGTAGGTGGAGGAAATCACGGGATGAATCTGACCGAACACGCTCATGCGCTCACTATCGAGCCTATGCTGTGGCAGTGAGGGCGGCGAAGAAGAAATTCTTCTCCATTTCCATTGCCTCCTCACAGTGCCGTCCAGCAGAGCTATTTTGAGTGGTACATGGGCTGGTTCATCCTGGCCCTAAGAAAGATCCCGTACCACTCTCAACAGCCCGCTGTGATGACTTTGCCCAGCACTTTAAGGAGAAAATCGCTCAGATTCGTCATGAGCTGGACTCTACTAGTGATTCAGATCCTCTAGGAGAGGTGCCAATGACTCCGTGTGGTCAGATATTATTGGATGAATTTCAGTTACTGAGGCCTGATGATGTGGACAAGGTGCTTGGACAAGTACGTCCTACCACCTGTTTACTTGACCCTTGCCAGTCATGGCTACTGACCAAGGCCAAACATGGGATTGGTGCCAGGATCCTGGAGGTCATTAACGCCTCTCTGAGGGACGGCTGGGTGCCTGTTCCTCTAAAGCAGGGTCTCAAACTCACGGCCCGCAAGCCAATTGCAGCCCGTGGGACAATATATTGTGGCCCCCACTTGATATCAAAGTTTACCGATAGTGCGGCCCGCGCGTGTTTCTCACACGCACCTGCATGAGTCGTCGCCCTGGGCACAATGTTCCCTCTAAGCTTGTGTTATGGAAAGCCCAGCTTTCTCAGACAAACCTCTGCCATTTCCCAGCATGCGAGGCACTCATGGATTCTGGCACACTATTCAGCAGTGAGAAGTATGCTGATGCCATTGTAAAGCTACAGGAAGAATTTGATCACAGGTTTGCAGATTTCAAGACACACAGAGCCACTTTTCAAATTTTTGCTGACCCCTTCTCCTTCGATGTGGAAGTTGCCCCCCCCCCCCGTGCTTCAAATGGAGCTAACTGACCTGCAGTGCAATTCTGAACTCAAAGCCAAGTTCAGGGAGGTGAGTGGAAAAGCAGACAAGCTTGGACAATTTTTGAGAGAATTGCCCCTTACCTTCCCTGAGCTTTCCACGATGTTCAAGAGGACCATGAGCCTTTTTGGGAGCACCTATCTGTGTGAAAAGCTCTTCTCCACCATGAACTTTAATAAGTCAAAGTTCAGGTCCAAACTTACTGATGAGCATCTTCAAGCCATACTGAGGGTCTCAGTTGCTTCCTCCCTCAAGCCAAATGTGGCTCAGCTGTGTAAGAGGAAGCGCTGTCAGGTCTCTGGCAGCAAGGAGTAGGAAGAAGTAAGAGAAGCCTATGTTCTGAAGAACCGTTCATGTTCTGAATTATAATTAGTAAATATTGAGAAGATTGGATCAGTTGTACTTTTTTTTGGAATACTTGAAATCCGTTTTTTGTGGAATACTTAATGTGGCCCAGCCTCACCCAGACTCTACTTCCAGCGGCCCCCAGGTAAGTTGAGTTTGCGACCCCTGCTCTAAAGGAGGCAGTAGTCAGGCCGGTCCTAAAGAAGGCATCCCTGGATCCAGAGATGGCCGCCAATTATAGACTGGTGGCCAACATTCCGTTTTTGGGCAAGGTGTTGGAATGGGTGGTGGCGGGACAACTCCAAGTACTATTGGATGAAACTGATTATCTGGACCCATTTCAGTCCAGCTTCAGACTCGGTTATAGTAATGAATCTGCCTTGGTCACCCTATATGATGACCTGTGCAGGGAGAGAGACAGGGGGAGTGCGTTCATGTTGGTCCTCCTGGACCTCTCAGTGGCTTTCGATACTATCGACCATGATATCCTTCTGGATAGGCTAGCTGGACTGGGAGTAGGAGGCACTGCTTGACAGCGGTTCCGCTCCTACCTTGACGGCTGATTCCAGAAGGTGGTGCTGGGGGATTTTGGCTCTGCGCCATGGCAGCTACGCCATGGAGTACCGCAGGGGTCCATTTTGTCCCCCTTGCTATTCAACATCTACATGAAACCACTGGGAGAGGTCATCAGGAGGTTTGGGCTGCGGAATCATCAGTATGCTGATGATACCCAGCTCTACCTCTCTTTTTCAACCGATCCAGGTGAGGCAGTGGCTGTACTGAACTGGTGCCTGGCCGAGGTAATGGGCTGGATGAGGGCCAATAAACTGAAGCTCAATCCAGACAAGATGGAAGTCCTGTTGGTGGGTGGTTCGAGCTCCTGGGTAGGTGACTTGGACCTTGCCCTGAATGGGGTTGCACTCCCTCTAAAGGACAGGGTCCGCAGCTTGGGAGTGCTCCTCGACCTGGAGCTGTCCCTGGAAGCTCAGGTGATCGCAGTGGCAAGGAGCGCTTTCCTTCAGCTTCGGTTAATCCATCAGCTGCGTCCCTACCTGGAGGACGATTGCCTAGCGACAGTGACACATGCATTGGTTACTTCCCAGTTGGATTTCTGTAACGTGCTCTACATGGGGCTGCCCTTGAAGACAGTCTGGATACTTCAGATGGTACAAAATAGAGCAGCCAGGTTGCTGACAGGGACTGGGCATTACTCTCATATAACCCCAGTCCTCTACCAGCTTCACTGGCTTCCCGTCGAGGTCCGGGCTCAATTCAAGGTGCTAGTTATTACTTATAAAGCCCTTAACGGCTTGGGACCTGGATACCTAAAGGAACGCCTTTTTCCATATTTGCCCTCCCACCCCCTGAGATCGGCAGCAGAGGCCCTCCTCCGGGAACCCTCCGTGAAATACATTAGGAGGCAAAGTACCCGGAGGAGGGCTTTCTCTGCGGTGGCGCCCCGCCTATGGAATGCACTTCCCAGAGAGGTCCACCTGGCACTGTCATTATTTGTTTTTCGGTGCCAGGCTAAGACCTTTTCATTTCAACAATATTTTAATAACTTTTAATAGCAGTTTATAGGTTTTAATGCGCAGCCAGGGTGGATCTGGATTTTATCTTTATTATGTTTTATTTTATTTATGTAAGCCATCCCGAGGCTATGTGATGGGACGGAATACAAATGCTCTAAATAAATTAATAAAATCAGGGAAGAAGTGCCATGAACATGATTACAGCCATTTTCATAAAAGAGAATTACTACTCTTGCTTACTGCATACAGGAAAGAAATTTTGGGGTGGGAGGGATGGGAACTCTGAATGATGGGACTCATGTGGAAGGGAACCAAAACTGAACCCCCTGAGAAATCAGCATAATGATACCAGATAGAATGATGGAATAAAAATTGAGAGAAAGAAGGACATAAATGGCCAAGAAAATATGCTGATAATTATGTTCCGCAGAATAAGATTTTTTTTTAAACTCTGGGAAATTCCAATTCTCTGTGTATGCATGAACTATTTTTTGCTTATGTGTTGGATTCTTTCTAATATATCATGATATTTATAACGCACTGTAATCTGGATTATTTTGATTAATCTTGTTACAGTCCAGTTTGTTGCATGGAATATCCTTAGAGGCCCTTCCATCCAATGCAATTGTTGCATTAGAGTCAAGCCATATAGTCAAAGATCTCAACATTACACCTCTCCAGTAAAATGAAAGTGATTCACACTTTAATAGACAAAGCACACAGCATCTTTTTCATTAATGCCAGCCACCCAAAATTCTACTTGAATTCCAACAAACATTGTGGTACAATGT